CACACTCCACACTCCAGCCAGCCCAGCTGCTCTGCCCGAGGGGCTTTACCATCCGCCACAGGGCCTTTGCATGGGCTAGGTTTCAACCCGGAATACGCTCGCCACCCTCCCAGGGTTGCCAGCTCCTGCTCGCTCCTCCAGAAGCCTCCAGAAGCCACCCCGACCTCCCGGCTGGGCTTGCGGCCCTCTCTGTGCGGCCTGGGGCTTCCCGCAATTCGCTGAAGAGCAGGTTGGGGAAGACAGGGCCTGGACGGTGGACTTGCGGCGGACTGCAGCTGCCCAGGTCTCGAGTTCCTGAGACAGGCCTGGGCTGGAGACAGTCAGAAGCCAAGGACAAGAGATCAAGTCCGTCACAGGAGAACAGGCAGAAGCAGGGGAGCTGAGGACACACAACAGGCAACCCCGACATTAGAGGGCTGGGCAGGGGGTGAGGACCCCATGAAGGACACTGAGGGGGAGAGGGTGTGGGAGGCGCAGGAGCTCAGAGAAGAAAGCTGGCTCCCGGGGGGCCACCCCAGCATTCATGCCCGGCTCATCCCCTCCCCTCGAGTCTGGTCTGGCCCTGTGACCTGTTCTTGACTAAGGTGATGAAAGGGACGCCACAGCACTTCCAAGCGAAGTCATTAGAAGCTTGTAATTCCAGCTGGGTCTCTTGAAACTCTCCTCTGGGAGGCCGGCCACCATGAAGGCACAGACTGCAGACTCCCCTGGGACTGCCATGCTGTGAGGACGGGGGCGATGTCCAGGGGTCCCGTCACAGTCCCCTAGCTGAGGTACCAGACGTGCGTGGAGACCACCTTGAACTCCTGAACATCCAACCCAGCTGAGCCCTCTGACCACTCCAGCCCAGCCAGCACGTAACGGCCACTGCGGAAAAGACACCGGGAAAACTGGGAAACTGTCCGCTTGAGCCGTCACAGGGCCACGGTGACAGTGAAAGACTTGTTCTAAGGCACTAAGTTCGTGGCAGCTGGTTAACAGCAGTCGTTGAGAGTTGGTAATTTAAAGCCCAGACAGCCCTCTGTGGTAGACATTACGGTCCCCATCTCATAGACGGGAAATAGCCCAGCCGAGCCGCTCAGCTGGTGGAGTGTCGTCTGTGCACTGAAGGGTTGCTGGTTCGATTCCCACTCAGGGCACATACTACCTGGGTTGCGGGTTCGATCCCTGCTCGGGGAGCGTACAGAAGGCAACTGATCTGCTTCTCTCTCACAGTGATGTTTCTCCCCCCCCCAAGCATGTCCTGGGGTGAGGGTTACAAAACCAAACCAGCCAACCAACCACGGGGAAGCCCAAGAGGGATGCGACCCAGCAAGGCGCGTGTAGCCAGCTGGAGGCAGAGCTGCGGCTTGAACCCAGGCAGGTTTGTCTGATACCCAGCCTACGCTCTTTCCACAGGACATTCCTGGCAGCCAAGCCATGTGGTTTTGGCCAAATTCCCTGTGTGACAGGTTACCGGGGCTTTCCCCAGGTGGCTCACCTGGGCACCGGCTGGAATCCTAGCTTTTTTTTTTTTCTTTCAATTGAGACATGATTCACAAGTGCACAAATCATTAAGTGTACAGCACAGAGCATTTTCACATATGTACACACCCACGTGGCTACTACTCAGATCAGGATATGGAACGTGCCTGGCACTCAGAAAGTTCCCTTGTGCCCACTGCTAGTCAGTGTGAGCCCCCTGTCCAGCGCAGAGGTGCCCACTGTCCTGATGACCGTCACCATAGTGACGGTTGTGCCTGCCCTTGAACTTCACACACATGGACTTGCATGGCACGTGCCCTTTGCGGCTGGCTTCTCTCAACACGATGTCCGAAGATTCGTCATGATGTTGCGTGTCGCAGTAATTCTGTTTTCACTGCCGTACAGGAAGTGCTCTGGGGCCTGGCCGGGCGTGGCTCTGCGGTTGAGCATCAACCTAGGATCCAGGTGATCAGGGTTCGATTCCCGGTCAGGGCACATGCCCGGGTTGTGGGCTCGATCAATGAATCTCTCATCATTGATGTTCCTATCTCTCTTTCCCCCTCGTCGTTCCTCTCTCTGAAATCAATAAAGATATATTTAAAAAAAAAAAAGAAAAAAAGTGCTCTGGGGCATGGCACAGCATCACGTGCTCACTCATTCTGCTGAGGGACGTGGACTGTGCTCGGACTGGGGCGTCTGCGAGTAAGGCTCACCCATTATTGCTCGTCACTTTGTGGCATAAGCACTCCTTGCTCTTGGGTGTACGTGCAGGAGTGGGAATCTAGGCCACAGGGAGTTCTTGGATGTTTCACCAAGAACCTGCCAAACCGCTGCCCACGGTGACGGCCTGAAGAGCGCTCCCACCAGCAGCGCGTGAGGACCCCAGGTCCCGCATCCTCACGCACCTGGGCTTGTCAGGCCTTCAGTCTGAGACATCCTAGTAGGTGGAGAGTGCTCTCTCAAAGTGGGGCACCTGCTCATGTGTCGGCCTCTTTTTTAGCTTGTCCAGGTGGCCCTGAGGGTGCCCAGGTGCAAGATGGGGAGCCGAGTGGGCTGAGGGAGTCACAGAGACAGAGGATGGAACTGAGGGGTGTCGGGGCTGAAGGGAGGCACGACTATCTGCATGCTGAGGCTGCCAGGGGCAGACACCTGGTCCCCAAGTGCCTCCAGGATGCATCTCATGAGTCAACAGGTCCTGAGGCAGGGTAGTCACAAGGCTGGGAGATTTGATGGCTCAGGGGCCCTGTTTTTTCCTGCTCGGCCATTGTTAGCATATTGATGAGGCAGGATGGTGGGAATGTGGGGACTTCACACAACACTGTCCAAAGACCAGGAGAGAGAAGCCTCCCTTCCTTGAGACCCTTTCTTTTTTAAATCCTCACCGGGGAGATGTTTTTTATTGATTTTAGAGAGGGAGAGAAACACTGATCAGTTGCTTCCCATTATGTGCCCCAATCAGGAATCAAACCTACAACCCAGGCATGTGCCCTGACTGGGAATCGAACCCATGACCCTTCAGTGCACTGGACAGCACTCCAACAGAGCCACACTGGCCAGGGCTTTGTGATCCTTTGTAAGAGCAAAGACCTCCCAGATGACCCCCTCTGGCCCTCTACCTCCCAACCAAGACTTCCCCTGGCACCTCAGTGGGTGGAACTGCACCCCATGCCCACTCCTAAACCCATCGCTGGCAAGGGAATCAGGCCCATTTCCCCAACCCCACAAGGGTGCTCCCCTGCGGGTCTTTCCCTGAACACACCAGGGATGCTCATAGGGCGTTTGCTTGTGCTGTACCCTACTTGAAATGCCCTTCTTGATTTTTCCATCTGGACTCTGACCTGCAGGCTGGGTCAAGGTCTCCTCCAGGCTCCCACAGCCTTCTAGGACCCAGTTCGATGTGGCTTATTTTAGTGGCCTGGGTGGGACCAGGCCAGTTCTTGCTCACCTCTAAGTAGCCTGTGCCCAGCCTGAGGTGCCCAAGGATTGATGGCAACAGCTGTGAGGGCAAGGCTGACTCAAGTCCTTTCGTCCTTTTGTCTTCATCATCTTAGCCACAGCCCTGCAAACTGGACAGCTGACCTGGGCAACTCAGAAAGGGGGCCTCGTCCCAACCCCACATGAGGCGCCAGCCAGCCAGCCGTGATGAGGCCTCCCACATCCACCCTGCCCAGGGCTGAACATGATCTCAGGGCACAGCCTCAGTAAGGACTGGGGTTAAAAGGCATCCACTTGATGGAGAGACTCAGAGAGGGATGTGACTTGCCCAAAGTCAGTCAGGGGCAGCCTCAGCTCCAACTGGGCACAGCATCTGCCCCAGGGCTTCTCAGACTTTGAGGTGCATGTGAGCCACTGCGGACTGTGTTAAAGTGCAGACGCTGAGTCAGTAGGTCAGGTGGGACCTGGACTTGGTGTTTCTCACAAGCTCCCTAGTGGTGCTGCTGGTGCTGGTCTGTAAACCCCACGCAGAGTTGCAAAGCATCGCCTGGTGGAACCAGATTCTCAGCTCCACCCTCAGAAGCCCACATGCTGCCCTGCAGGAAGGGTGGAGTGCTGGGGGCAGGGGGTTGAGAAACCCCAACCTCCATACCGCACCCTGCCCCAGCCATCCAGGACACCAGAGCTGCAGGAACATTTTATTAAGTTAAGAAGGCTGATGGAGCAGGAGGGAAAACGGGGCAGCTCCAGTGGTTCCATGCCCAGCACCCTCTCAGAGGAGGTGGAGCCACGGACACAGAGGCCGGCTCCCTCTGTCCATCCGTCCAGAGTCCCAGGGTATGGGAGCCCCCAGGGCAGGCAGTAATTAGTGGGAGGTAGGGTGGGAGGAGGGTGGCTGGCTCCGTGCCTCTCCCACCAGAGTCAACCCTGCCATGGCCACTGTCAGACCCCAGGGCAGGGCCACGGGCCCAGGAGCCCAAGCAGGAGGCTGGAGACAGAGGGGAGCCAGTGTTGGAGGCACATGGCCACCAGGAATTGCTTTTTAAAAAGTACAAAGTGTTTTGGAAAAAAAAGGAAAAAGTCTATATATAAAAATCTCTTCACATATAAAATCCTGAAGAAGGTGCAAGGTAAGACCCAGTGCGAGGGGCGCGCTCAGATATGCAGGGTGCGCGCCTGTGCACGCGTGTGGTGTACGTGTCCTGTGTGCGCACCTGTGAGTGTGCCTGTGTGCGTGCGCCTGTGCACGTGTGTGTGGTGTATGTGTCTTGTGTGTGCGCGCACCTGTGCATATGGATGCCTGTGTATGAACGTGTGCTGTGCATGCTTGTGGGTGTGCATGCTTGTGTGTGTGTGCCTATGCGTGTATATAGCTGTGTGTGTGCCTATGCAGTGCCTGTGTATATGTGGTGTGTGTGCCCGTGTGGTGCCTGTGTATGTGTAATGTGTGTGCACCTGTGCATGTGCATGTCTGTGTATGTGCCTGTGCGTGTGTGTGTGTGTGTGTTCCTGTGGGGGGGGCTGCGTGTGATGGTTGTGAGTGCATGTGTAGCCCACAGAGGGTGGGGAGAAAGCTTGGCTTNCCTGTGCATGTGCATGTCTGTGTATGTGCCTGTGCGTGTGTGTGTGTGTGTGTTCCTGTGGGGGGGGCTGCGTGTGACGGTTGTGAGTGCATGTGTAGCCCACAGAGGGTGGGGAGAAAGCTTGGCTTCTGACTTCCATCCAGCAGGGAAGGAGGGCAACTGGTCCCCTTGGAAGGAGGGCAACTGGAGGTCTGAGGCTAGGCTGGACCACAAGGACCTGGAAGACAAGAGTAGGGTTGTTGAGGGCTGGGGAGGCCCCAGCCTTGGCCCTGGACCCCAGAGTGGCTTTGGTTAGGCAAGGGTGGTCAGTAGATCCTTCCAACACCTCTTGGCCCCAAAGCCTGGACCAGATCTGCTCCTCCAGGCTTCTCTCCAAACAGCTGTCCCACAGGGTGGCCTTTCCCAATTGCCTTAGAAGTTTACAAGGACTTGTGAGAAAGAGGGAGCTGTCCTCCATCAGTGATGTCTGAGTGTGGAGCTTGGTGGAAGGAAAACTCTTAGTGATTAGTGATGTGTGCCCTGCTGCCATGTCTGAGGTGGGGCAGGCACACTGGATTTGCCAGCCAAGCCTAGGCAGATCAGCCAGGGGCAGTCTCAGCCCTGAGGGGGGTGGGAACTGATCAGGCTGTGGCTGCAGCACAGAGTTAAGGAGCGCCGCTGTGTCACTGCCCCTATTTATAGAAAGGGAAACAGAGGCCAGGAGAGGGAAGTGCTCTGGGCCAGGTGGCAGTGAGTCAGGTGTGGATGAGCCTTGAGTGCACACCTCCAGGCCAGGTGCCGCGCTGGGCCTCACTCCCGCCCGCCCCCCAGCACACCTCTACTCGGCCACGCTGTTGCGCACTGCCTCCTTCTCCTGCAGGGCAGCCATGGCGAGGCGCAGGTGCTCCTTCAGCTGCTCGATCTCCCGCTCCGACCGCGTCTTGATGTGGTTCAGCTCCACGTAGACATCCTGGTACTTTCCTGAAGTGAAGCGCTTGTCCTGGGGGCAGGCAGGGGCTATAAGGGCACAAAGCCCTCCCTACCTGGCACATGCCCACCATGCTCCCTGCTGGTCAGCACAAAACAGCCAGGCCCCTCCACAGTGCCCATGGCCTTGTCCCTCCAGGTGGTCCCCCTTGGCAGGCACCAGCCCTGGACAAACCCCTCCTGGCACCGCCTAGTGACACAAGTTTCAGCATCATTTGCATTCTGCTCAAGATGAGAGCTGAAGCGCAGGGAGGTGAAGGTTTTGCCCAAGACCACAGGGCAACTAGTGGCTGGGATGAGAACCAGGTGAGCCCAGCCCAGTGCTTGGGCCCGTTCCAAGAATCTGACTCACACACACTCCCAGAGCCACCAACACACAGAAGATATCAGACACAGGGACACAGCACCAGGCAAGCCACAGATTCATAGACCTGGGCCTGAATCCCAGCCCCCCCATCTGCTAGCAACACGGCTATTCCTCACTGGAATGCATGCTCTGCACAGACAGGGATTTTGGCCTTTTTTGTTCACAGATGTCTCCCCATCACCTAGCATGGTGCCTGGCACATAGCAAGTGTTCAATAAAGATTTGCTGAATAAATTAAAGCAAGTGTGGCCTTGAGCAAGTCACTTACCCTTTCTTAGCCTCAGTTTCTTTGTAAATGGGGAAAATAACACCTCCGTTAGAGCATGAGGAGTGCCCAGCACAAAGCAGGTACTCACAGGATGGGGCATCCAGGTGGGTCCAGAGGTCCCCCACCCGCTAACACCCTGCTACAGCCAGCCAGGACCTACCTTCTGCATCGTCTGGAGCTCATCCCGAAGGCACTGCACCTCCTTCTTCAGGTACTGAAGTTCATTCTCCTTCACTCGCAACAGCACCTGGGGTCATGGGTGCCAGGATAACCCAGGGCCAGAGGCCAGAGCGACCCAGCCCAGAGAGCACTGCCGCCTGCTTTCTCCCTGCCTCAGGCCCCTGGAATACAGCGCCCAACTTGCACTAAGATCCACTACACCCCAGGGACACACTCCTCCAGGAACCCTCTCTCACCCTCGTCCATGCCGTAGCACCAGGCCCTCAACTTGAGGGCAAAGAAGATAAAAGAAGACCATAGTGTGGCCCTACCCTGAACCAGAGAGGCTGGGACTGCCTGCAGACGACATCATTAACCCCTCCTCAAACCCTGAGGGGCAGGTAGTGCTATCCTGACTTGACCAAGGAGGAAACTGTTTCAGTCAGACTGGGGAGGTTTAAAAACTTAGACTTGAACCAGACTACCGGGTTGAAATCCCAGCTCCCACACCAACTAGCTGTGCAACATTGGGCAAGGTACTTGACCTTTCCATGTCTCAGGTTCCTTATCTGTAAAATGCGGATAGTAATAGCATGTACCTCACAGGACTGTCAGGAAGACTTGGTGAGTTAAGAACTTCATTTACAGAAGCTCCAGGCACAGAGTAAAGCCATATATAAATGTTTGTAAAATAAAATACCAAGGTGATCCTGGGATCATGCCCATTTTCTCACTGCAACTTCTCCCAGTAAGAAAGGTGCTAGCCCCGTTTTACAGATGAGCTACTAGGGCTTAGAAAGGTGAGGCAACTGATCCTGGTCACACAGCATGTAGGTGGCAGGACCTGGATGGGAGGGCTGCAGTAGTGCTCGGCACATAGCAGGTGTCCTTCCTAGCTGTGCTGGCGTCAGGTGCCCTCCCCAAGCCCAGGTGCTGAGGACCAGCTGGGCTGCCTGGTGTGCCAGTGGGCTCTTACTTCCAGTTCACAGGAGCTCCGCTCACTGCGCCCACAGCTGTTGCCAGTGCCCTGTGAGGCGATGAAGCCACGCAGCCGGTCAATCTCCTCGGACAGGCGGCCATGCAGCTCCTGGGGGGGATGGGATGATTAGTGCAGGGCTGCCGAGGTGCCCAGGCCCCCACCCCACTGAGGCAAGACCCACCTGGTTGTGACGCAGCAGCTCCTGGCCCTCCTGCTGGCAGCACCGCAGTGTGTGCTCGCGCTCCTCCGCCTGCCGCGTCAGGGCACCGATCTCCAGGCACTTCTGTGAGTACTGCTCTGACAGCACCTGCAGCTCCCGCTTGAGCGCGTCCACGTCTGACCTGCCCAGGATGGAGGAGGGGAAGGATGATGTGGGTTGCTTGCCCTTCGCCAAGCTCAGAGTCGTCGTGGCAGATTCAAAGCAGCTCCTGAGTTCCCATCCTAGTTTTGCTTTGAGCCCAACTGTGGGGCCGTCAATTGGTGACAGCCTCTCATGGCTACAGGTGCCTCCTCTATGAGGCGGTGGATTGGAAGAGCCCATCTCTAAAGCCTCTGAAGCCTCAACATTCCAGAACTGTGCTCTGTGGCAGGGAGGGATAGCGACTGGCTGAGGGTGACACTGCAGCCCAGCTCTAGGGGACACTAATGAGGGGAAAGGAGTATGGAGGCTGAGACCAGCTAGACAAGAAGGGGCCTGAAGAATTGTCTACATGGACGGCATGGAGGTCTGACTAAGGCCCTGCTGCTTCTGTTCCCTGTGCCACAATGACGAAGTGGGAATCTCAAGGGGAAAACTGACGTGTCCTTTGCCAAGGGGCATCAGCACAGGTCCCTGACTCATAACCACCAGTGTAGGCAGCTGGGTCCCTGGCTCAGAGTGAGGCCCAGCTCACAGACCCCAGGGCCCAAGTGCCATCTTACTGGTGCTGCTTCCGGAGGCCATCTGGGCCCTGCTGGAGACTCCGTGTCTTGCTCAGCTCCCGGCTCAGTTCTTCCTGGTAGGCCTTCTTCATGGCTTCGATGGCTGGATGCAGGGCAGAGAAGCAACGGGGAGGTTGGGGAGGGGTCAGCAGTACCAAACTCCACCTCCTCTGAGACTCCATATGTACCGTGGAGACAGGAGCAGGCAGCAGCATGAAAAGAGCACTGGACCAGGCTGTCATGAACTTAGTGGCCTTGTGTAAGTTGCTTGACCTTTCTGAGCCTGGCTAGCAAGAAAGGATAGCAATTCCTGTCTGAAGGACCATGCTGGGGAGAACCTGTGTCTGACCACTGGTACCTCTTGATAGTGATGGCTGGGTAGGGCCCCACACAATCCACTGCCCCTGACAGCCTGGAGGGTCCTGTAACAAGACCCATCTGCCTTGCCCAGCTTAGTGGTCAAGAGGACAGGCTCGCCTGGCCGGTGTGGCTCAGTGTGACTGAGCATAAACCTATGACCCAGGAGACTGAGGTTTGAGTCCCAGTCAGGGCACATGCCCCAGCCGTGGGCTCGATCCCCAGCAGGAAGTGTGCAGGAGGCAGCTGAACAATAACTCTCTCATCACGGATGTTACTATCTCTCTCTCTCCCTTCCTCTCTGAAATCAATAAAGACATATTAAAAAAAAGAGTACAGGCTCTAGTCAATACAAATCTAGATGACTTTACTCGGCAGACTTAACACCTCTGTGCCTCAGGTCCCTTATATGGAAAGCAGGGTTAACAATGGCACCTTCTCCCATGAGATACTGGAAGACATTTGTAGAGCATTTAGAACAATGCACAGCACAGACATTAGCTTCTGGTTTATTTTTCAGACTGTGGGATCCCAAGGACGGAGTCTCTTTTCTCACTCACACAGGGTTGCTATGAGGATTAAACAAGTCCTCATCCATCATCTTATCCATGATTCCCAAATCCAAAAGCTCTGAACACTGTAAGTTTTTCATAACTCTTTTGGTGACAGTCCCCGACCTGAACAGACATGGGGCTATTTGAGGTAATTACTATCCCACTTAAGGGTGACCTTGAGAAACTTCACTGCAAAAACCTTAGTGCTAGATTTCAGGGTAAAGCCCAAATCCTGCTGGTGGGGGGAATATCTGATATATGCACCAGGTTACCTTCCTAAAATGCAAAATGCACCCAGGGTTTGGGATAAGGGGCCATGGGCTTCAGCATGTGAAGCATTTAGCAGGTGGTAAGTTCTAGCTCTTGTGATATCTTTCATCATTTCCACTATTCTCCAACCCCCTGGAGGTACATGAAATGTGCCAGGCACATAAAGCAGGTGTGCAGTTGCCAGGGGGAGGGAAGATGTTGCTCCACACCCAGGCAGGGCATTCTTGTTCTGGATTGGGAGAGCAGAGGGTTGGGTTAAGAGCTTTGCAGTCAGTGTGCTCTGGGCTCCAACTCCAGCTTCTGCCACCTCTAAGCTGTGCCATCTGGGACAATAACTAACCTCTCTGAGCCCATTTTCTCATCTGTGAAATGGGTGACTCCTTTGGTCACTGTAAGGACTAGGACTGGGTAACAAGTCTTGGTAAATGCTCACACCTTTCCCTGCTCTCCCTGGGGTCCGGCCTGTGTGCCCAGTGAGATGACCTCGCTATGAGAACTGGGTCTGAAGAGGAGCAGTCTCTCCCCCAGTACGTGGCCCGGGCATCGGCACAGGGTCAGAGCTCAGTGTGTGTGGTTTAGGTGGACCTTCCAGTGGCTGCAGGCCCCGAGGGACCAAGGGAGAGCACTCACAACCAATGGGGGGTGAGGGGAGTCTTTTACCACCTCACTTTTCCCTTTTCAAGTAGGTTCAGAGACCAGTTCTGGGGGCTTCCAACGCTTCCTGATCCCATACCCCAAGTCTGGCACTGAGGCCTCAGCGTCTTACTTAAAAGCCTCCCAAACCCAGCGAGGAGCCTCAGTTTGGAGGTTTGCGGGGCCAAGCCCGCTGCGCCACTCCTGCCCAGGTCCTCACCTGAGGCCGTGGCGGCCGTCTCCTCCGCCAGGAGCCACTCCTTCTCCTGCTGCAGCCTCTGCAGCTCCCGCTCGTGGTGCCGCTGCAGCTCCTCCATCACCTGCTGGTGTGAGGACTCCATCTCCGCCAGGCTGCGCTCCCATGCCTCCTGCGGGTGGGAGGTCAGGGGGTCAGAGGCTGCCCACATTGCCTGGGATAGTGGCCCTTCTCCAGACTGAGGTGAGACGCCTCAGGAGCAGGACTATCCTGGTCAGGCTTCACCTGGACCCCAGTAACACCAGCTTGTACCCATCCCCCATCCCTCCTCCCCTCCCCCATCTACAAACCTTGCCCTGTCACTCTTGTGCTTCAAACCCTTCTGAGGCCCCCATCCTGGAGGGCCAAGTCCCTGCTCCCATGTCCGACCCTTATAGCCTCATCCCTGGCCTTTCCCCACCAAGAAACCCCACAGTTATAAACAATTTACAGCATGTTCACACCTGCCCTATAGCTCATGGTATTTGCATCACCTGGAACATTCTTTTGCATCTTTCTTTTCCTCAGTAATTCACTTCACCTGCAGCCCAGCTTAAATGTCCTCCTAGCTCTGTCTCTGGACAACCTCTCCCTTGCCGCCAAAGGCCTTGCTTCTGCCAGACCATAAGTTCCCTGAAGACAGGGAAGATCGGATCCAGCTCGGGGTCCCCGAGGTCCAGGAAGGCCTGATGTGTGGCAGGTGCTGGGTAATGGAGCTGAGATTGATGACTTATCACACAATGGGGACTTGTGCACCAGAGTGGCCAGTATTTAAGACTGAAAATACCCACTGCTGGGAGAGTCGCTGTGACAGGGTATGTGGAAGGCAGTTTGATAGCACTGATGCATTTTTAATGACCCTATCCCCTGACCTAGGAGGTCCACTCATAGGAACAACCCCACAGGAAGTCACATGTGTACAAAGAGTCTTAGAGGAGGGTATTCCCTACAGTAAGATTGGCAACAGACAAGAACTGGAAACAATCTAAATAAACAACCCTTAAATAAATTATGAGCTCGAGCCTTACAAAGGACCAGGCAGCTGGTAAAAGACAGAGCTGCCCACATGGACAGCTGCGGCAAGAAGTGCGGAAAGTTAGGTGATGAAAGCTGGTTTCTGACAATATACGAGGTGATCCCACTCATGGAAACAAAATACATGGAGCCGGACGTCCGGGTACAGATACGCAGAAGCACAGAAAAGGTAGGGAGGACTAGCTCCGAAGATGTCCACATCCTATTGCCCAGAACCTGCGCGCGTCACCTTACATGGAGGCAGAGGGGGACGGAGCTTGCTAATCAGACGGCCTTAAATAGGGAGACTCTCTTCTAGACTATGCGCTGGCCACGCAGCCACGGAGTCCGTAGATGAGGCGGCGGGGAGCAGAGAGGGAGAAGTGACTGCGGAAGGGGGTCGGGGTGACGGGAAGAGAGAACCTGACTCTTTTGTTCACTCTGAAGATGAAGGGGCCAGGAGCCACGGAAGGTGGGAAGCCACCAGATGCTGGAAAAGATGAGAAACCAGATCCTATCCAGAGCCAGCAAAAGGAAACGCAGTCCTGCGGGTGCCTGGCTTTTGAAGCCTGGCGAGACCCGCGCTAGACTTCTACCCTCCAAAACCGGGGAGACAAACGGGGCTACACAGATGTGCTCTGACGGTACTCTAGGGGAGCCCTGCGGGGTGCAGGGAGAGCAGGCAGGGGAAGGGGAGTTCATGTGTTTATGTCTAACTTTTTAATTTGTTTGAATTATTTATGAAAATAAATACGGGAGGCAACTGATCGATGTTTCTCTTTCACATCAATTTTCTCCTCTCTCTCTCTCTTTCATCAATAAAACACCAAACAACCATGTCCCCCAGTGAGGATTAAAAAAAAATTAAGATCATTACAAAGGGAAGGGGAAGGGCCAGGGAACAACCAAGCACAGAGGGCTAGAGGAGAAACTATTCTCACCCAGCTGGTGTGGCTCAGTTAGTTGAGCGTCCGTGTCCGTCATCATGTGTCGTGTCGTCCCCCCACATATAAAGGGGTCACCGGTTAAATTCCCGATCCCCAGCAGGGGGCATGCAGGAGGCAGCAGCCCCTTCTCCCATACTCTCCCTCTAAAAATCATGTATTATGGAAGAAAAAAGAATTGTATTCTCCCCCATGGCACAGGGCACCTCACAGTGGCGGAAACGGCCACACCTCGGAGGCCACTTTGGGGGAAGGAAGGGCAAGGGCCAGGCCACCTGAGTTCAGGTGTTCTAGGTAGTGAGCAAGGGTTATCTGTCCCACAGGGACTCTGTGCCTGTCCTCTATGTGTCCTTTGAGTTAGGACAATAGAACACTGCTTTGGAGTCCTAATCCTGGCTGTACGGTGGGATGAACTTGAACAAGCCCCTTCCTGTCTCTAAGCCTCAGTCTCCTCATCTGTAAAACAGGCCTCATAAAGCCAACTCCTGAGTGTCCATAAGGTAAGCTAGCACCCACCTAGAGATCACCCACCTGCAGAGATCAGAGAAATAAGGGAAGTGGGGACCTATTCTTAAAGGGTCAGACCAGGCAGAGCCAGTAGCTAATAGGGGGTCAGGAGGCTGATGCCAGGAGGTGGGAACCAGCCGTGAGGAGGGGCTCCTAGAAGGCCAGGTGCTGCTCTCTGACCCATCTTCCTGTGGGCCCAAGGTGTCAGCTGCCACCTCTGAAATGGATCAAAGTGGATAAGGAAATGCCGGTGGCCTCCACTATACTAGGATGCAAGGGTTCCCTTTGCTAGAGAGCCACTACAGCCCCAGTGAAGTCCCAGAGCCCCAGCTGCGGTCCAGTGGCGGCAAGCCCCACCTGCTAAGAGGGGCACGCACTGGGCCTGAGATACCAGATTGGGGGATCCCTCCCCAGCCGTCACCTCTCCAGGGTCCAGGAATCTCCAGCCGCTTCCTCCAGTGCCTGAGGGGGCCAGATGGCTCAGCTCCTCTTCTCTGGTGCCCTCCGCATCTCGAGCCTCCTCCACTCCTGTCCGCTGTTTCCCTTTTACTCCCTTTGCAACCCCCCTCGATTCTGCCTGCTCCCTTACCCATCCGACCTCGCAAGACAAAACGCTGACGCCCAGGAGGCCTGGACTGTGGGCACCGGTCTGCCTCCAGTTCAAAGGCCTCACTACTTCTCTGGGCCTCAGTTTCCCCATCCAAAGCTGAGAAGTCAGAAAAGTACTTTTCAAACTTCATTTTAGTGAGAAACCTTTTTCCAAAGGAAATCGAATGCAGGCTCTAATGATAAAGCGGACAGAGACGGAGCGGCTCTGATTACGGGTGGATGCAGATGCACCCACGCAAAGCAGCAGTCCCTGGGAGACCAAGGCCCACAGAGCGCAGCCTGAAGTCCTCTGGGGGTGGTCTCTGAGGGGACTCCAGCAGTCTGTCTTGGTGTTGGGCCCCGCCATGCTTGGAGATGCCCCACCCACCTCTTCCTCTGACCTCAAGGGAGTCTTTGACAACACTGGTCCCTACCTTCTCCCCCTGCCCCATATCAGGTAACCTCCAATCTAACCTTATGTCAGGCCTCAATTCCCCTAGGCCCTGGTCTTCCTTCAGCTGAGCTACTCAGCCCCAGATGGGCCCCAAGGCCTTGACAGCAGCCCCAGCCTTACAGCCCCTTGGGGGCTCCCTTCGGCCTTCCTTGGGCCCAGTCACCCAGTCCTACACTCTCCTCCCTCCACATACCCTCCCACGTCCCGCTCTCCCTCAGTCATCATCGTTGCTCCTGACACTGACCTCGGCCCCTCCCAAGCCCCCTCGAACTCCACCACCACCTTCCCAATGTCACTACCAGACCTCCAAACCTCCTCAGGTGTGTGGGCCAGGATCCCAACTCCTTGGGTTGGCAGCAGAGGTCTCCAGGATAGGTACCCCCCAGCCTTCCACCACAGCCCATGCCCCTGCCGCACCCCAGTACTCAGTTCCGCAGGAGACCTCCCCCAGGAAGGCTTCCCAAGAGCTCCGTATAGCCACCTCCCGCCTTGGAACTTCTACAAGGCCCCTCTGCTCAGAGCCTATGATCCCAGCATTCTTTTCTGCTTCTGGCAATGGTGTGCTGACTAGAGGCAGTCAATTATCAAATTTTTAGGAATCTTGTGACGCAGTTGTTAAGAATGGCCATTATTAAAAATTATATAAACATGCAATTAATTACATTAAAAACAAAGCTGATGCTCCAAATCCATCGCTTCTTAATTATTTCACTGCATTTTATTATCTTTGCTTTCAAGGTTATTTGTCTTCAGTATCTGTACGGTGGGAATGCTCTATAATGGTGTGCACATATCTTCCCAACTCTGCATTCAGGTCCTTCAGCCACAGTGGGAGTCTTTACACCATGGTCATTGGTAAACATTACAAATCGGGACTTGATTTATTGTTTTGTTGATAATCTAGACTTAAGCAAGTGATGAGAAAATGCTAATAATGCAGATTAAACTTAAAAGTGTGCTGTACCTAAGACCATCACATTATAAGTAGAACAAAAACCTGAGGAAATACTCTTAAGAAAATATTCTCAGTAGAGAACTATTATCCAATTCAACCAAAAAATTGTTCATGACATTGACCAAGTAAAGTTTCGACGTGTTTCTTATCTTACTCATTAAGATAAATAAAAATGTCAACCAATATTCACGTTAGGATGATGCTCATTTTGTCAGTGAGCTGTGGATACAAGCAATTGGAAAAACCAACGAAAGCATTCTGAGAAAAATCAATGTGCTGTATGGCAATTACAATAAAAAGTATTATGTATTTTTTATTTGTAAGTTGTGTACTAAACATACTTTGTATCAGTAAAATATATAATATAGCATATATGTGTATGTTGTACCCATGCATGTATTTTTTCTGGAGAGCTAGTTGTCCCCATGGTGATAATCAAAAGTGTCTCCAGACAGGGCCAAATGTCCCCAAGGGAACAAAATCAGTCTCAGTTGAGAACTGCTGTTCTAGGCAGACTGTGTGTCCCCCTGAAGATCACTGGAGGCCCCCAAGTCCTGAAGGCCATCTTGTGAGGGTCTCGGCCTCGCAGGCATGGGAAGGATTTCCCTGTTTAGGGAGAACCTCCCAGGGGCCTACCTGCTGGGGCTCCCACTCTCCATTGGCTCCCCACTTCCCCAGGGTTGTGTGGGGAAAGTGGTTCAAGTGCAGAGTGTCCCATGAGGGCAGTCAGCCGGATCCAAGCTTAAATCCCACCTCTGACAGCTGCAGGCCTGTTGGCCTTGGGCAAGTCACATAACCTCTTATAGCTCAGTGGCCTTGTCTATAAAACAGGCACAATGCTCATGTCCACCCGCTGAAGGGATTAAATGAGACAATGCATGTCAAATGCCCCCATGGTTCTAGTACACAGGAAGGGCCTCCAAAACATTAGCTCTTTTCTGAAAACATGGCAACCAGAAACTTGCCCTCATCCCCCAAAAAACAGCTCTTCAGCCTCACCTGTGAGATGTAGCCTGGGGGGATGTGACCATCCTCCTGGGACCTGGATGCACCCTGAGGAGCCTCCCCTTGAAGACGCCATGCCTCCAACTGGGCACGAAGAGACAGGACCTGTAAAGGGAAGAGATGAGGTCAGTGGGGGCCTAAAAACAGAGAGGGCTGGCGAGAGGCAGTAAGGAGCTTTGGATTTGATGAGAAGTGGCCCTGGTGGGGATGTGCAGGCAAGGGGGACATTTCATCTGTTTCCTGGATGGCAGGGCCAATGGCCCAGAGAAAACTAGACAGGGTTGGGAACAGAATGCTGTGGTCACAGATATTTACATTATGTAGGTGGCAGGGGAAACATCTTTGAGCCTCAGCTTCCCATTAGTAAAACTGTGATGAGGTCTACCCAGTTGGGACCATGATACTGCTGTGAACATATATGAGCCTCTGTAGGTAGAGAGGGCCCAGGACAAGATGCTCAATAAACGGCCTCTCTTTTCTTTTCCCTCTTCCCTTCTCTGTGGTTGCTGAGGACAGAACTAAGAAAAAATATTAAAAAAACGGTATGGCTCAGTTGGTTGAACATTACCCTGTGCACCGAGAGGTCGTCAGTTCAATTCCCAGACAGGGCACATGCTGGGTTGCAGGCTCGAGCCCAGTGAGGGGCATGTAGGAAGCAGCCGATCAATGTTCTGCTCTCACATAGATGTTTCTCTCTCTCTCTCTCTCCCTCTCCTCTCCTCTGTCTCTAAAAATCAATCTACAAATATATATGTGTACTTTTAAAAAAAGTTTTTATTGATTTCAGAGAGAAGGAGGAGAGAGCCGAGAAAGGGAGAGGGGG